TTTAAAAAAAGATATTTTTAATCAAATAAGATCTGACAATGTTCCTAGCTCTGCATTAATACCTCGGCTTTTTCATGTCAGTCACCTCTAAGCGATTTGACAAACTCAAGATCTCTTAAAACGGGAAGAGTTCAGATCATATTAATTTCTCCAAAATGTTTTGATTCAAAGTAGTTTGTATTTCGCGTTGCCAAGGGCAATCTGGGAAAGAGACAGTGTGGATAGCCCCGGTCCCCTTTTTCTTTTTATGGCCCAGAGGCGATAGCAGTATTTAAGCTGCTGAAATTAGCCTGGGGCAGGGAAAAATAGAGGATCACAAAGTGAAACAAGAGGCAGGTTTTTTCCCCCTTTCTTTTTTGGGGAGGGAGAGAGGGAGGGAGATTGCTATTTCATACAACGACATAGGAGGGCTAAGTATCACCATTGGCCTGTCTTCCCCTCCTCTCCCCTCCTCTTTCTCTTTCTCTCTTCTTTCTTTCTTTCTTTCTTTCTTTCTTTCATTCTTTCTTTCTTTCTTTCTTTCTTTCTTTCGACTACTTGTTTGGTTCATTTGGTTGCCCATTCCTAGACTGGCTCCACAGAAGAAGTAAAACAGAACCGAGGAAAAGGTTAAGGAAAACAGACAGACAGACAAACACACACACACACACACACACACACACACACAATACAGCCCTAGATTTATAATTAGAGGGTTTTTTTAAAAAAAAAGAGAGAAAAGGAAGAGAAAGAGAAGAGAAAGGGGGAAATGGCTGTGATTAAAAAGCTCAGGCATCTTCTATAAATAGGAAATTCGTATCTTTGCAAGTGATTCCTTTTGAAACAACCGATCTGAATATTCAACTTTTAAAGCAAAGCTGCGCCAGTCTGTATGTACAACATTAATATGATCTCTGCAGAATTTGGGTCCTCAGAAAGATTACCATATCAAAGCTTGATGCCTGAGGCTAGAGAAGCTATCGATAGGCCCGCAGCAGGTAAAGTAAAGATTATTGGTTGCGATGGTGCAAGGAGCGGAGCTCCAGGCGAAATCCTGCACGTCATTAGCTGGAAGTGATAGCGGTGGGAGCTGGGCCACCTAATCAGTGGCTACTGTTGGCGCTGACTGGTAATTAGCTCGCCAACATTGAAGCCCTGCCGTCCCAATCGCCCCTCCCCCACTGCAATCTTCAAAAAGAAAACGTCCTCCTGTCCCGACTCTCATGAAAGCAACAAACTGGCCAAGCCGGGGCCAGCCAAGTCAGAGGAAGAGACGGGCAGGAGGCATCTTCTTGGGTGGGATGGAGGTGCTGGGGCCCCGGAAAGTGGGTTTCCAAGAACACAGGAAAATCCTATGTGCAGCAGCCCAGAGCCAAGATAAATCCGGGGTAAAATCGTCTCCACTCTATCATATCCCACCATTTTATTTCGCATGAGTAGCTTATGCTTCACTCTTGTCAGTTCCCCCATCTGTTTAATAATTATTCATTTCTAAAGCCAAGTCTTTGTATCCTTCTTTCCTCTCTCCCCACCACCACTCAAATTGGGAATTCAAATTACTTGTTTTTCTTAAACCAAACAAGATTTTTTCTCTCCCTCTCTTTTCCTCCGGATAGTTTCTAAGTGAAAGCATTGCCTTCTTTCTTTTCTTTCTACCACGTGCGTTCTAAAATCTACAGTACCTTCCTTCTTTCAAATGATTCTAACCTGCCTTTGAGAGTTTTAACAAAGAGTTCAAAATATAAGGTGATCCCCCCCCCCCCAGCTATATGTTTTAACGTATTAAGTGGCCAGAGTGGAGACAAGCTGGACGATTCCATACTGAAAATTTCATAATCAGTCTAAATGTTATGATTATTTCTATCATGTTTTTTAAAAGATATAAAGTATTTATTATGCATTTTAGGCACATATTTAAAACAGACAGCGCTGTCTTCCTTAGGAAGGCAGATGGGTGGCTCATGGAGCCAGAGCATGATGGGTTTTTTTTTAAGATTAGTCAAGAAACAGCTTTCCATTTTCAGACAGGATTTTTTTCATTATCATTTTTACATCATTGAATAATTCAGTTACATTTTAAAAGGAAGAGGGAGTAGAGAGGAAAAGAAAGAGGGACTCGTTTTTTTTTCTTTCCTGCAATCAGTAGCTCCAGTAATTACCAGGAAAGAGTTTAAAGAAGTTGCATCGGTACTATCTGAAGGACTCAATGGGAAAAATCTTCAAATGGGAGATTGGGTTGCAATCAAGCGCTACAAGCCAAGCACAGTACCTCAGTTGAAGGCAACAGAACTTCTTTCTCTTTTGGCAGTACTGATCTAGCCCAAAAGACAAAAGCATTTGTTTATCTCTGATATATTAAGTTCTTAGAAACTTTAAATCTCTCCCTCCTGTGGTGGGAAATAGCTATTTCACTGAGAACAAAGAAGTCGTTTTTAATTATTTCAAGTGGCTTATGCCAGAAAAATGATCATTTCATTCATATCTAAATTGCAACTAACCCTTGGAAAAAGTATTTTATTCTTAAGCCACTCCCTTTCCTATTGATTTCCAATGTTCATGTAGTTTTACCGCAGGACGCCACAAATAAAATTATTATTTGTGGATCTCCAAACATAAAAACAAAATCTTTGGATACAGAGGATCAAAAGTCGGAAGGGTCAAAAGTCAGAAAAGAAGGAAGGAATTTACAATTGAGATTGTGTTTTAGAATGGATAGTTCCATCGGCCTATAGTTAGGGAAATATAACATGCAAGCCATAACATACTTAAAAATAAGTCTTGTAGATTCCCACTGTTCCAAGGACTAAAGCAATGAGATCTGAGAGACCCATAAAACCTCGACTTTGAAGGCGTCAACCGAATTGTCTTCGACGGAGAATGTCTTGTCAAGGCGCTGTCCATTTCAGCACCAAAAAGCTATCCCGATTGTCTTTCCCCAATTAATGCGATTTTGGAACACTCGAAGTTTGATGGTTTTAAAGGAGATTTTATTGCCAGCCTCAGCTTGTGCTTCTTTTAGAATAACATAGTTCATATTATTTTTATGAACAATCATTATTTCATAGATCTAAACCTATACATTAAATGAATATTCCCCTTGTTCATTTTGGCCCACTCTTCTTAGAAGTTAAAATTTAATCCACTAATTTCTTCCACAATGACATTAAACTGAATGCATACTATATATAGTACAAAAGCAAATCTGGAATTCGCTTATTTGTATGCATGAGCCAAATGGAGGACACGATAAAGCAACATATGTATTTTTGTTAATTTACTTTCAGTTTAGTCTGCCCATTAATATATTTCACAGCATGATAAGGTTGAATAAGGTTCTGCCCTGATATTTTCCTCACCTTAATTCCAATTTTGACAAAGTAATTCTTGTGCCTATTAAAATAATGGTGACATAAGAGCACAAACTGGCACCTCCTATTCAATCAAATATATATCCATACACTTAAATCATTATGATAGGAATATAGAATTTGGACTGCAAAAACTCTCCAACTTGTTACGGTTGCTGCACTTTTCCTGCACCTGCCAGTGTTTTCATTTGCAAATACTGCCTTCGATTTTAAATAGAATTGATTGAATTGCTAACAATCATCATGTTCCTTCCTCTGGCTTCCTTCGTTTTCTGGTGCAAATTGTTCCAGCCAGAAGCATGACTGGAAGGCTACAAGACACTTACCAAACAGTGAAATGGAACCAACAGGCAAGAAAAGGTTCACACAACATCATTATTAAGTCGCAAAGAGAGCATGTCTTTCGTTCCTGAACTTTTCACTTCAATATGGCCATATCTGAATTCAAAAGCCCTCCAAGCAGCAGAGACCACTTAAACCTGCTTCTTCCCTCAGTATGATTTCTGAGATTTCTTACAAGATTCCATCGATGGGGATCAGAGGGGGAGAGAGTTACATGAATATAAAAGACAGTCAAGATCTCCAAATGTTTTTTTTAAAACTACATTTTGGGCACATGGCTTGTCCCACAAAACTTGCCCCAAATTTCAGGTGATAGGCAAACAACTTCATTTTTTTTAGTGGGAAGGGAAGATGAGATATATGCCTACATATTTTAATATATATTAAAAAGTGCTTACCTCTCCTTATCACCCCACCTTGTCCATTCAATACTAGCCCACACTGGGCCTCCACCGAACCCTTGAATAAAGAAGAGAAAAACCAGATTCAAAAATCCACACAGGTAAAATGCATAGTAGCTGCAAGGCTGAAATGGTTAGGATTTTAGTAGAGACTGCAATCGTTGCAATGGATATAATAACTCTCCTTTGGAATTGTGAGATGGGAAGGAGAAACCTTAGAAAAGCACAGCTTGTGCTCAAAACAAATAAGCCCTTTCTTTTTCTTCTTTTTTTTCCTGTTCTCAAATATGACAGTTCTTTGACGGACTGATTGATTGGCAGGCAGACAAAGAGGAAGTGAGTAGCATGGACACAGACAGAATTTGCCAAAGGGATATTTGGCACATGGAAAAAAAAAAGAAACAATAAAAATGAAAGTGTCTCTCTGCCTATTTGTGCATTTGAAATATGCACGGCCTCTGGAAATGTAACATCTCTGTGTCACAAAATTGCCACCAGTGAATCAAATTAGAGAAAGACAATGGGCAGATCTAAGGATGGAGTTAAGTTGGAGGGATGTACCCATATAAAAACGGATGCTTCTAACTAAACAATATAGTTGTAGTCTAAGCTGAACAGGAAAATGACCAAGATAGGTTAGGTACTGCCCATAGAAGTGCATAAAGTGAGTATCACTGCCTGTCTTAAGATGCAAGGGAGGACTCTGATTTTTTTTTAAAAAAAAAATCTTTCCTTATGTGTGTGCATTGTGTGTTCTTATATGCTCTGTCCAACTACATCTCCCAATTCTTTTTCCGTACTGCAAATTTCAACAAAGACACACACTTTCCTCCACAAACAAATAAGGTTTTAAGTATGGAGTAAGCCTTTAAAGGTGTTTCACCTACACAGCCGTCTATGATGAATTAGTTAATGTGGAGAAAAAGTTGGTACATAATAACCGTAATACCCCTCCCCAGAAAAACCCTTTTACAAAAGCAATCTTTATGGTCCTTCTTCAACCCCCACCCCCACCCCCCTTTCACCATCTTGATACTGGCCTAAAACCCCCTCCTTTTACAAGGCCTCTTTTGAGTTTAAATGTTCTGCCTTAAAGTGATTATGAAATCAATATGGACAAAACTGGGCGACTGAGCATAAATTAAAGCAATGATGGGAAAAGGTGTGACAGTTTCTTTTGTTCCCCATGGAAAATCTTTTTAGGGGACTGAAAGATGTCCACTGTGGTTCCAAGTATCCTTGCATCTGTTAGGCTGACTTAAACAGCCTTCCAAACTATTGGACTTTCACTTAACATTCTGAGCAGAGGAAAGTATATTTACATTTGTTGCATTAGAAATGAGACATATGTTGATGAGGAAAGTGGAAAAGAAGGGGGAGGAGGAGATGAAAAAAAGAAAAGAAAGAGACTGAAAGACTTGAGAGTAACACTCTTCGAGAGTGGTCCTTTCACTTCGGGTCATAAATCTGATTATTTGCTCCTGTAAAACGAGTAAAAGTAAAAGTAAAATGAACAAAGCACCAATAAGCTTATAAGCTACATAAATAAGTTACAGGAGTCCCGTCTCTGTATAGTTCTATTCCTGATTTGCAACTAAGGAAGTAGCCATGATGGCATGGTCCAAACAAACCAGCATTTCTGTATCCTGATTAGAAAGTTGGCCAGGCTGCAAGTATAATTGAAGAACGTTTTGTTGAGCTGAGCTTTTTAACAATCTTGCATAGGTCTAAATACCCAATGAGTACACACGCACGCACGCCCACGCACGCACAGTATACCGATTTAAGGGATCTTATTTTCTCCTTTCTTACCTAGAAACAATTTTTAATTTTAAAAAAAAAATGGAAATGATTCTTCCAAATGGATCTGCTGTCTCCAGGCTGGAGAGGGAAAAGGGAGGGTCCAAGGGGGAAAACGTTGTTTGGTCGGATGACATTGCACAAGTGACCAGTTGAATGGCACTAAGTCGAAAATTGGATAAACTATGGTGCTTTCTCGCACAGGATTTACGCATTGTGGGTTTCCTTGCAAACGACGCTAATCCCTTCTTTTGAAAAAAAGATACAAGGCTTTGTGCTTGGGCATAGAAAAAAAATGTACAGCTAAAAAATCAGCAGCAGACGTGGTTATAAAAAAGGGGAGTAAATAGGTCTTAGTGAAGCTAAACAGTGAATGGCAGATTTGGGAGAAGGAGGAACATAAGGGAAGCTCTTGTTGAAAACGGAACGGGGGTGGGTGGGAAGGGGGCAACAGACGCGTAGAAAATTATTGAGTGAGTTTCAGCGCGGAAAGTCAGGTTTTAAGGAGTTGGTGGCCCCTGAGGATTTTATTCTTGTGGAGATTCCGCCGTGTATGAGTGTGGGAGGCTCTCATTTAGTTACATTTAGTTAACCCGTCGGCTTTCACTTTCGGCTTAAAAATTATTTTCTCTTTTTCACTGAAAATAGAAAACCTCTTTTAAACATTTTAGAAGGAATAATTTAAAAGTGTTATAATCTATATAGTTTGAGGGAGGAAATAGTGACAAAAACTTGCTTTTTTAAACTATGGCGGGGCCAAGCGCGGTAACCAGTATCCACTTAATCAGATGTAGCCGGGAAAATTCTCTCCCCCCCCTCCCCGCGCTTCTTTCTCTCTCTCAATAACCATTTTACGACGGAAAAATATGTTTGTGTAAGCAAGAGATAGGCAGAGCTGAGAGGTAAGCCGAAATGTAGGGAGGTTTTTATTGTTTACATTTCTAAAGCACCCATGGAAAAAAAAGTCCTGGCCTTAAGCCCAGGAAGAGAGTAAGCAAGAGAAATTGGCTGGATTCGTGATGGATGGAAGTTCAGATATAGTCACACCCAGTACTACTTTCAGAGCTACTTCACCTACTAACACCTCTGGTTTTATTCTGTAATCTTTCGGGACTTAGTAGGAAATCCACCTTCCTGGGTTGAAGGTTCCCTGGAGGAGGGCGGATTTTCCTTTTCCCCCTTCTGGGAAAGGCTGACATTCGGTCGCGACGCGTCCTGCCTGACTCTTACACCGAGTTCTCTGTAGGAGCTGCGGACGAGGGACTACTAGTCTGGCTGGGCAGGGCAGGGCTAGAACGTCCAGGGCAGGAAAGGTGAGGCGTCGTGGAAAGTTAGTGGAGAAGAATCGGGGCGATTCCGCGCGCCCAGGAAGCGCATGCCGTTTACCTGCAAATCGTCCGCTCCCGAGCCCGCCAGCCCAAGGCTTGGTCCCGGCAGAAGCCTTTGATCTGGATGCATCCCATATTGGGTGCCATGGCCCATAAGAGAGAGGTCGTGCCGCCGGTAAGCGTCTAAACACCCAAGTTCGCGCCTCTGCTCGTCCAAGCAGGAGGATTTGAGCGCCCGGGCGTTGTGCAAATTGATGAAGTCGGCGGGTTCTCCATGGTGGATCTGCTGGTAGTATTGCTGCGAGTGGTGGAGCGAATTCAAGGAGTAGGCGTCGGGGTTAACCGCCGGGTGGCTGTGTTGGAACTCGTAGTGGAAGGACTGGTGGTGTAGGGGAGCGTATTGGTGGTTGGCAGAGAAATAGGGGGTGGCGAACTCAGTGCCGGTGCCGGAATAGGTGAGCGGCGACGAGGAAGAGTAGGCGACGGTGGAGTTGGCCACAGACTCCAAGCATCCCAGCTGCATCAAACGGTAACTGTTTGATCCATCGTGACGTATCTGTAAAGGCAGAATGGTGGAAAAAGGTAACCAAGGGATGGCAGGCCGGGCATGGGGAAAAAGCGGGGCCGCCTGAAGTACCCAGCCCTGTCTAGCGCTCTCCCCGCCCCCAGCCCGGTTTTCTTAGCCTTGGCCCTTGCCTACACCTTGGGCTGATGCCGGCAGCTCTGAACTACTCTTTGCTTTGCTTTCTTTTCATTTGTTTTAAACGAGAGAGACAAAATCCAAGTGTGAGTATGATTTTTTTTTTGGGGGGGGGGAGTAAAACCTGCGCCTGAAAGCTAGAATCAACACCGACTGCCCAAAAAGTCGCTCTTTCCCCGTATTCGCCGTAGTTGCTTTGGCGAAATCGCCCAACGTAAAAGCCGCTCCGTTCCCCGTTGGTGTCAGGCGCAAACCGGCGGCTTTTCGGATCCTGACTCCTTGACTAAAGCCGCAGGCCCCCTTACTTTGGAGCGCAGATTCCACTGCTCCGTATCGAGGCTCTCGACACGCCTTTACCCCTTTCTGGTTTAAAAAGATATCCGTCCCGTCCCGTAACAAGCCCCTACCCAAAGCTCCCCTTCCGACAATCTGAAGGGGAGTTGTGGGTTGCTGGGCTCCCAAGTTCCCAGCTGTCTCTCTGGCTACTTTTTCCAGCGTTGCCAACATTTCAGAGTACATTCTCGCGCCGCTCAGTCTGTTTTGGTCCGGGCAACCGTTTGAATGCGGCAGCGGTTTGCCTCTTGCCTGTTCCCGGCGACAGATGTCATAACGAATTTTCGCCCTTTACTTCCCCGAGTTCTTTCTGAAGCCGGATTATAATTAAATGTAACGGTCCAATGTGGATTAACATACATACACAAAAAGGAAAGCGTGCGCAAGAGAAAGAGAAGAAAACCCAGCCATACACACGCGCGCACATAGAGGCTCATTCGAACACACACATGCATAAGCATACACGCACACACACACTCACACGCGCACACACACACGCGCCCACACACACAAAATACCTCCGCATCGTGGACGAGTCCTGGAAAGGTAGTTGACATTTTGCGTTCTTCGAACGAGGCGTAAAATTAAATCCCTTCTCCAAATTTAAAAGGAAAGGAAAGAACCAAAGNCCTCTTCTTTGTGACAACCCCTGAGATATTGGAACACTGCTATCGTGTCTTCCCTAGTCCTTCTTTTCATTAAACTAGACATACAACTACCGGTAATCTGTTCATAGAATCTAAATCATACTCCTTTGAATTCATAATATAGCCTTTTCTATGACAGTGCGAATTGCAGGTTAGTCCAAAATTTGCATAAGACTTGAAATAGCAAAGCCATTATGCCAAGCCATGAGCAATTGTAGAAAAGGAAGTGTCCCTCAAGATTATCAAGTCATAAAAGAGTTTGACATTGGCCAGTTTGGATAACAGAATGATGTTATCCAGTAGCTGAAGCTTCGTATAGTGAAGAATGGCAAAGGATCTGCTCAAGATAAGTTTGTAAAGATCCATATACATCAAATGTGGGAACCTTTTTCAGAATTATTATATATTATTATATAGGCATGCTCTAAGAAATGCAGTAATGGATGACTGTTTCATCCATTATGCCAAGTCATAAGCAATTATAAAAGAAAAAGTGTCACTCAAAATTATCAACTAAAAAAAGAATTTGACATTATCCATACTTACCTAGAAAGAAAGAGCAGAGGAAACTGATCTGTGAATGCTGGTGTGCTGATTCATTGTCTTTAAATTCTCAAAGACCTTTGTCTAGAAAGGCCTTCAATTCTTTTGGGAGAACCTGCTCTTGACTTATTTAATATTCACTAAGAAAGAAAGAATGTCCCAATTACTCAAAAATGAAAAACTGTCTTAGGGTCGTAACAAAAGATTCCACACAGACTCTTCCAAGTTCTCAATTAGAACCTAGTCATACTTCTCATAATAAATTTCTGTATAAAAAATATCAGACTAGATGACAAGCTGTTGTTCCATTTTAAAAAAAAACTAGATTTATGTCATTTTCCAGATGCATTTTAAGGATCTTGTTTTTTACATTTCTTTGTGGTAGCCGAGAAAGAAAATATCTGTAAACTCTGATTAACATCAGATTCTTTAGATTATTGAGAATTATGCCTACCAGTAATAACAAACCTTATACCTAATTAAATTCATAGCACTATGGTATGCCTGTACACCATCAAAATTATGGCATCACTTCAAAATAATCCATTTGAAGATAAGACTCAGCATTGGCACTCACAAATGTTGGCAACTGCAGGTGAAAGTGGTAATTTAATAAATTTAGTAATTTAATAAATTTATATGCCCCCCAATCCCGTAGGACTCCGGTAGGAGTCAAAGGGACCTCAGTGAATAATGAGATCCACCTAAATATAAATCTACTAGCTAAGATCCAGTTAGGGAAGGAGTACACAGGTGAAAATGCTATGCTATGATTTCCATAATTTGTCTGAGATTAACAGTCACCCATAAATATGGGAAATTTTGTTATTGCCATAAAACACCAATATAAATAATTATTTTTCCACAATCACCTGCAAATTAGATTTTGGAGAAGGGGTCATCTTACATTACCTGATAAAAATAGAGAAGCTATTTAAAACAAAGGATTGGGCTGTAAATGCAAAGATGATGAAAAGCCCAGATGCCTTTGAAGATTAGTTTGAAGATTAGCCCTTGCTTGGGAAGGATTGCTTTCTTGGTGAATTTTAACCCTTTTTGTAATCTCTAAAGACAGGACTCATCTCTCTTGTCTTTCCTTTTCCATCTTACCTTTTCCTCTCTTCTCATTTCCATCCAGTTTTGCTCTCTCCTTTCTCTTTATTTTCTTTCTTTTTGCAGCTGCTCCTTCCTTCCCTCCAGGTTCCCATCCTCCTCCCACTTTCTTCTTGTTTTTGCTGTTTCTCTTGGAAGAAAGGAATACAATGTCTTGGTGTATTTCTATATGTAAGAGTAATCGGGATTTCTGAAAGAGATTGATTGGCATATGCAGATGGGGATCAATTAATTTTATCAATTAACTGTCTTATTTTAAAGTTATTTTTTCCTCCCTCCCACCCTTCTTTCCCCTCTCCTTCCCTATCTTCCTTCTCTTTGGATTGTGGCTTCTAACAAGTACAGTATGTACAGTAGATAGGTCCAATAGACACATGATCACACAAGTGTGATGTAAATTGGCCAAGCTAAGTTGATAAAGTTGATAGGCATTGTATAAAATGTGTGTTTGTATTTATAATGCTTCCTAAACAATCTTTTATTTGGAGGATCACCTTAAATTCAGGACTGTCTTCCTTTCAGATAAATAGTTGCATTTTGCATATGACTCATTTGCAATATTTCATAGAAGGATGTATTTTGCCAGATTTTTGTAGCTTTGCTCTAGATCTAGGATTTGTCAGTAAATGCTCACTACATGAAGGGCAATGCTATTAATTTTTTTAAAGCTATTATTCTCCCAAGGGTATGAGAAGCTTGAATAAATCTATGATTAAGGTAGCGTTTTTGTCAAAATTTGAATACATATTTATTCATGGTTTGAAACATGAAGCTTTTATTGACTCAAGAATCCAAGATATATTGCACATATTTCCCTTGACTTTTTGCTATTAAAATGCATATGCTGCATTCCCCAGACTGAAACCAGCTACTTCAGAGATAGTGGAATCCATCGGGGGATATGTATTTATGTTTTTAAAACATATTTTAATTTCCCCATTGATCATAACTCATGAATAAAATCAAGATATTCCCTGAGAATTACCACTTAAAATTAAGAATTAAATATGATATGGAAAAAAACCACATCTTCAGCAGCCCAGCAATAAAATGGGTAGTGAAATTTCATTTTTAATCAGCAAGTGATCATTACTGAATGTGAGTTTTTGTTTTAACAGGAAGAAAAAGGAAGGATTTCAAAAATAATTTTTCTTTGGTGATAACTAATATCTCATTGTGTGTGCTGACAATATAAACGATGGAGTCAGTTTGGTTATGTCAGTAGATAAACCTTAACCCAATTGTCTTGTTGACAATTGGTGGATTCTCATGAATGAAGGATGAACGATCAAAACCTTAAAACTTTAGAAATCTCAGTTTTGAAGTCTTGGTCAGTCTTGGCCAAAGCTCTTATTAAATAGAATTCTTTCCATTGATTTGAGATGGGGTCAAGATGAGGTCCCAAACATGTCTTTGAGATTCTGTGCTAGGAAGCACAGAAGAAATAGAAAATAAATATCTGAGAATTGATTTTTAAGGAGATCAGGCCCGTCATTTGGAAGTAATTTTACATGACAGTTAAACTTGGACATGCCATCTGGTGAGAACAGGCTACATTGTATACACAAACAGAAATATTTGATCTCTAATTCCTTTGCTATAGGTAGACTTAATAGGGTATCTCTTGAGATGGCAACTGAGAATGCAGATGCATCCTTCCATATTAGAAAAGTTGTTTGCCTTGAATATAGTATAATATTCATTATTTCATAGGAGAGAAAATTACATTAATGATAAACATGGAATTTTACAGAGAACTATATGACAATAAGAAATGTAAATGTCAAAAGATAATACATTCCTCTTTTCTCCTTTCGTGTAATTAAAAAAGAAGCCAAATGGAAAAGGGATATCTATTTTGCATATATTACAATCCTGAGCTATAAACTAGAGACAGCTATAGTTCCTACCCAAATAATCAGCATTAAAGTTTTTACCAGCTTCCTATATAGTTGTTTTTTTTGTAAAACTGGAAAAGAAAATATTTTAGAGTAGCGTTTGGACATTCCAATCCATTTACCACTTGAAGTGACCACCAAGGGAAAGAAAGAATCAGTTTCGGTAAATATTTTGGAAGATTTTATAATTTTAAGGATGTGTGGATTGACTCCATTTTAGTCTTAATTGTTGACTTGATTTGGATTGATTTAGAAATAGAGTCAATTTGAAGCAGTGATTTGATTTTCCAAATAGATTTTAACAAGGATCTTTTGCATATGCACAAAACCATTCTGAATCATTATATTGATCTGAGGGTGTTCAATTTGATTCACTGATCTGATTTGGAAATTTGATTCTAAGGTTCAATAGAATTACTTTCAGATCATATCTTAAGAACAAAAGTAACATGCAATCTTAATAATTTCCATATCTAATACAGATCTGGAAATCTTTAGCTTTGTCATTAAAATAATAACTCCAGCTTTTTAATAAAGCTTAAAAATTTAGATAAACATGTGCAGTCCTAGAATTATCATAAGCATGGACTATCTTTCAGATGACTATGTTTTATTTACATGATGTGTCCAATGTGCATGGGAATGTGGTCTTACAGCTCAGGATTATAGTGAAGGAATATTTTTTTTAAAATAGCTTATGCTAATTGATGAAAATTAAAGAAAGCTCCATGATCATTTTCAAGATGGTTTCAAATCATATTTCAACCACACAAATGCTTTCTTATGCAAATTGCCCATAGTTTCCCACTTTGAAACGAAAACAACAACATAGCACTTGAAACCCAGGTGTTATTTTTGTCTACATTCATTCCATGGAAATGTTGTGACACTTTCCTCAGGAGTGAGTCATTGTCAATTATTCAGAGCAAGTAAAAAAGCTGCTCACAGGTTTATGTACTTTCAAATATAACATTTCATTTACTTAATGAACTGGGAGATAAGTGATGAAATCACATGCTTCTGTTATGTTTGTGTGTGAGAGAAAGAGAGGGGGGAGAGGGAGAGAGGGAGGGTATGTATTCATCTTGTACTTGGTAAAAATAAAATTCATACAATTTAAAATTGTCCATATTTTCCTTTATTTATGTATTTAATTCATAAAGCAATTGTTCAAGGGAACTATCAAATACACACCCACACACTAAAATTAAGACAAAACTGCTAGCCAAATCATTTATCAATAGAAAGCTTGAGGAAAGGAAGGGAAGGGGGAAAAGAGAGAAGGAGAAAAGGAACTCCCAGGAGAATAAACTGTTATTATGATTTGGATTTCTATCCCACCTTTCCAATCAATCACCTTAAATTGTGCCTGACAAACCTTTGATAACTAATGTGTATCTTTTG